ATGAAGGGAAACACTCTGGACAGTTACCTCATTGTAATTTATACTCTGTGGTATTGCTAGTATTTGTGGAGTAACAATTTTAAATTAGGTTCCAATTCTCAAATTATAACATTTTGGGGGGCATGCCTTATTTACGTTACAACCCCAAAGTACCACCCACCTCCTCCTCCCTTGAAAAATACTGGATCCGCCTCTGAAAAGGGACCACACGACATTTACTCATACAATACCCGTTCATCTATTTATAATTTCTTAATATAATACAAGGTGCCACTTACTGAATGGCACCTTACTGCTTCTGCGTATGGGCTTCATGTTGAAACCAGTCTCACCAGACTGACTTACCTCATTGTCAAATTATTGTAGCAAATATTAGTTCAGTCAGTGCTGATGTTGAGGCTAGTTGATTTGATTAATATTTCCTTCCTGCTCCTAATACCACATAAAACTGTCGCTCAGTGAATCAAATGAAACACTGTAAAGTCTGACCAAACGTTAACCTAAAAAAAACTGCACTGTAATTTACTCGTTACAAAAATATTCATCAAGTGAAAAACTTAGTGTCGGCACTATTAAATGGAAATTACTTTACCATGAATTTGAATGCCTTCGTCCGTGACTTACTTTAAAGAAGCTATCATTTGAGATATTGATCTGGTATCGCTTCAGTATCTCTACTTTGCCCTCTTTATCTGTCTTCTGAAGGTGACAACTCTAACAGATACTATTTATGACAAGAACCCCTAAGGCTTTGTACTTGAAAATGCAACCTTGTCTATTCGGTTTGTTTGTTAATTTAATTACTCGGTATCATTAATAATTCATGATTGTAAATTCATATCACTGAAAATTTCAAGCATTATATTAAATAATTCTTCTAGACTACAAGTATTCCCTCTTTCGCTTAGTCCGCCGTGCGTGACGCGAAAGAAAACCGCGAGAAAAAAATGGCAGTATTTCGCGAGGCCATGCATTTTTTTCTCGCAGTTTTCTTTCGCGTCACGCACGACGGACTAAGCGAAAGAGGGACTACCCGTAATCTATATTTCTTTATGCTAGAGTGGTTTTCATTTGAGTTTCGAAAAGCAATTGGCTTTGCATCGCTACGCTACACGATTGGCTTAAAAACCTCTCCCCAATTTTTAATCCAATCAGAAGTAAAACCAAAATCAATCGTGATTCGCTCGCTCGCACTTTACCCGCGATTTGCGTCAGGTACATGTCTGAATTACTTCGAGTTTTGATTGGTTCGCTTTAATGTCTGTATCCTCTGTGATTGGCTAGAGGTATTATTTTGGTTTTGGTGTTAAGACGCTCAATTGAAAACT